TTCCACTGAGGGGAGACAGAATTAGAGAATGCATTAAAGGTATTGTGTGTATCATTTAGGAGGATCTATTGGCAGAAATAGAACATAATATTCATAGGTGTGTTTTCATTTGTTACCTGAAAAGAAGAATTGCTGTGTTTTTGTTACCTTAAAATGAGCCGTTTTTATCTACAGGTCCTCTTCTACAGAGTCTGCCATGTTGAACCACCATGTTCTACTGTAGCCCAGAATGGACAAACCAAACCCTGGCTTCAGATGGGGCATTTTTAGTTTTTTGCAAGTTATGGATCTGCAACTTCACTGCTAGATGCCGCTGAATCCTACACAGTGGTCCTTTAATACATGCACGGTGACTCCCCTTAGAAAACACAACTTGTCAGTTTTGCTTTTTTCTTATATAACGTGTTAATCGAGTCGAGCTTTATATGTGTCAGTCTAGCTGTTTCACCCTACTTCAAGTATGTATGCTGAGCTAAGCTCTCCTGGCTCTATAGCTCAATGACAAAGGATGACAAGCAGCAAAGGGCCACAGGTCAGAGTTGAACCTATGGCAGCAAGGACACAGCCTTGGTTCATGGGCTACCAGCTCTACCAGGTTAGCTACCCTTAAATATTGAGGTTCAGCAAGTTGGAAACAGCAGTTGACAAAACAATCTCACTGTCCACTGTCTCACAAATCCATTTAGTATTCTTTATACTTCTTGTGTTTATTGTTAAGTAATGTCACCCACTGCATCTTCATGGCTTCTTTATTTGTTGTTGGAAAATAATGGGCTTGTGTCTACACACAGACAGAACTGTTATTAGGATAAAATCATTGTCGGTTTTGATATTTAAACAGTATAAGTCACTTTAATTTCTTCAAAAAATGAAAGTTATCTCACAAAGAAAAGACAATTAGAACATGTTTTTACAGTTACATCTTTGTTGTAATATCTAATTAAAACTCAGATATCGACAGGAACCAGCAATATAATCCGAATGCATAGAATGATGGATTTTAAATCAAGTCCGCCCGTTGACACTCGATGATCCCTGGTAGTGCAGCTTTTTGTCCAGCGCTCGGAGCTGCTCCAGGAAGCCAGTGTTAGGTGAGATGTTCCTGTTGGCGCTGACTGCTTTGATTGCGTCCACCAGCGTCATGTTCTCATGGATCATCAGGTAGGCCAGAACCAAGGAGGACGAACGGCTGATACCCATCACACAGTGGACAAACACTTTACCTGCCAATCAGCGGAAACAAAAAACATCCTGCGGATGAATCCAGAGCTCAGCCATCCTCTACTCGCTCCATTTCTATATTTACAACCATGCAATGACTGGATTATTGCGGTGAACTCTGATGTCTAATTCGTCACTCCTCTGTGGATTAAAAACCATGCACATCACAGAGAGGAGTACTTCTAACTCCTGACTAAAAGTTTTCAACAATGTTGCAACAAATGTTTCTACACACGGTAATCCATGGTTCCTTATCGGGCCTGAGGATTAGGGGGCATAGGAGCGCGTAATTGAACTGTCTTGGCGTCTGTGTATTTCTGCCGGGGATTACTGTAGGCCCCGCCACACACTGGAGCCCCCGATCAGCCACCATGTGAATGAGGAGGCCTCATCTTATTACTGTCATGTCAGATACCGACTTCACTTTGCATAACAGGCCAGGCAGGCACAGGCCACAAACATAATTGTGTAATTTCCATGTCCAATAAAAGTGTTGCTTACAAATTACCAGGGCAATCCATTTAAAACCAATTTTCCTGGCCAAGGTCTGAGCTTATGAGAAGATTACCATGGGGGAAAGATATTAGCTTGATATTATGTTTAGTGTTTGATTTGCATTTTAATGACTAATACAACTGGGGGCTGCTGTAATGGGAATTGACTGACAAATGTTTCTGTACTTTGCCTTGCAGGAAAATCCAAGTTAATGTGTAAGAATGATGAGAAATACCTTGAGCACAGTAAGAGCTCCTCACCTGTGGGCGAGCTCAAAGCGTTCTTGATAAAATTGGCCGCTGAGTAAAAGAAGGGACTCAAGTCAAAGCATGGCATGTCATAAGCTTCCACTCCATGATAAGTGATTTTGGTATCTCGGTAGAAGCTGGCCCCCGTGTTCACATTGAACTTCCCATCAGCAGCGTTAAGTACATGGGTGATGTGGTGAGCCTGGAGTGTCCTCTTGTCTGTGGCTGCGGTCCTAAAGGGAAAAAACTATAATTATCTGTCCAGTGCACATAAGTGAAAGGATTTGTCATTTATGTGAGCACAATTGCACAAACAGGAAATGCTCATAAATTACTTAGAAGCTGTCATGTGATTAATAAAACATTTACTAATGCTTTATATATAATTAATAAGACGTATAGGCATAATACATAAATTAGATTTTATTTTGTGTTGCCAACTTGTGGACATACTTTTAAATTATGAAACGTGGTTGGTGTGGTAGCTTCACCCATAATGCCCACCTAACAAACATAATAAATAATTAATTGCACAACTGTCTTTTAGAGAGAAAAAACTATAAAGACTGTGTCTATAAAGACGAGTTTAAATGCACTTTTTCTGTAGCCTACTTTAAACACCACATACTAAATTCATTTCACCTCCATTGTGTTTGGGTGGTGGTAAAAATTCCATAGACAGATATCTATAAATAAACTGTTGGCTCCCGCTCTGCTGCCTGGAAACAGTTTGTATTTAGCATGTTAGCTTGTTAGCATGCCCATGTACTAATGCTACATCTTCAATTTTTAACTTATTACTGAAGACTGATGATTTATAGACCTACAATGACCTGTGGACACTGACATTTATCCATAAGTCAATATGGCAGTTTATACTACAGCTCATTTATCCAGCTGACACAAAGCATTAATGGCATTTCATTGGCGACAACCTATATCCTTTACATTATGCCTTATTGTAAAGCATGGAGTTGGAAAGAGTGTTTTCTTCTTTTTTACTGTTCTGGTCTCACTTGTCTCCAATATAGATCCTGGGCTGAACCTCATCCAGATGGTTGTTGGCCCCACTCTTTGTCCACATCAGTCTTTTGAGTTCCGAAGCCGGGGGGGTCTCATACCTGCCGCCAGCCCCCTCAGGGCTCGCCAAGCAGCTGAGGCCTCTGGGCATGTCTGGATGCTCCACTTCTGCCTTTTACAACCTGTCACATAGACATACCACATATGATATTCCAACAGAGTTTAACTGAGAGTTTAAAGCAGCAACAAGGAACTTTTCATGTTGTGTTGATTCTGGTGGCCCCTGTGGACAAAAGCAATAGTGTTTCCACCACTTCGATCCATTGATTTCGATGGTTTGTTGAACCAAACAGCAATGGTCATTGCTATGAAATATGGACCACAAATGAGCGGTGAGAAGTCATCAAAAGGGTTGGAAATGTTTTTCCTTTACCTTGGTCATCTACAGTTTAAGACTCCACTGATGACTACTAATAGGCTTTATTGGAGTAAGAGCATCATTCTAGATAACACTGAAAGAGAAATACAATAATGAGGATGGTTAATCAGAACATCAGGTATGGAAGCCTATAGCCTTTAAATATAGACTATAAATATGCCAATAAATGTACTCCACAGTAGCAAAGGACCATAAGAACACATAATTGTAAGATGACCTTATGATGCTCTCATTATTTTATCTACAGTTCAGTACCACTTGGTGGGTTTATTTATCTCCAGGGACACAGAAAATTGGTATTCAAGGCCTGTAAACATCAGCTTTTCATTTCCTGCAGGCAAGTCTAACCTGTGCATTTACAATTTTCACATTGGGCTGCAGAGAGACTTATACTATGCGTACTGTATACATTAGCATCCATTTAGGCAGCTGTGTGATTCTGCTCCAGGCTGAGGACGTACAAATGATGTGTATGCATTGTTATAGTAAAGAAAGCAGCTCAGCTTCCTATTTACATTCTGCTGGTGTATGGAGACATAATGTGGCATTCTGACTGAATGTGGGTTCGGAGACTTATTGTCGTGTCCACAGGGATGAGTCATTGAGACCAAATCTGTTTCAGTGACCTTTTGTTAAGCTGCCGTGGCATATGGAGGTGCACTCAAACATCATGATGGCTTTATCTGCATGTGCATAGTTGCATATGTGTCACTCAAAACAAAAACGCTGCATCTGACCCGGCATATGCTCCATGCATATGAGTGTGTGAGTGTTGAAGGCAGAGTAAAGTGTGTCTTCGCACAAATACAACATGTGGCCAGAGTACCTGGAGGCTCTTCTTTCTCCTCATTGATCTATAAGTACAACCCTTCCCTCCCTCCCACTGTCAGGGCAGAGAACTGATTTCCCTGGTGCACATGTTGAGCTGCAGCGCTGCTTTCATAGCCTCCCCCCTTAGGCTAACCTGTCCTTCCTGCTCTACTTCTGTGTAATTAAAGATGCTATGTATGGGAAAGTGCCCACGGTTAACATGGAGGGCAAATAAAAATGGCTTTTTTACCTCCTCCGGGCCTCTTCTCTGTGGTTTTATGAATTACACTTCCCTCTTTAGCCTTTTGGATGTGGCTCGCCTAGATTTGTGAGAAAATTAATAAAAGAAGAATGTGTGGTAATCCATCAGGCAATGCAGTATCATCACAGTACATACTCATTTATTAAAGTGCTTTATAAACATGTTTACCTTGCAAACAAAGGTACAATAACAGTACAATAAATCCATACATTGTACATACTAATAAATATTTTCCAACATGGATTTCTATCTGCAACAAACTCGTAAGAACACATTGTTAGTAGACACTTGCCTTGGTTGGAAACGCTGCGTTTCAAGGTCTCTCTGTACAAGAGCTACATGTAGGTCGACAGCACAACTGTCTGCGTTCTCCTTGGTAATCTACCCTGCAACCTTTTTTGCTATTTTAACATCTGAATCTCAGCCCAAAATAATTCTGGCATCATCTTCTGCATTCCTTAAAGGTTACCCGAGCTACCAGCTCAGGAGGGAGGATAGGACACGGCTTTTTCAATAGCAAGAGAATTACAGTGCTGCTATACTTGAGCTTAAATTTGACACCAGTCTTGACTGTGTCAAATTTAAGAGATTTCTTCTCTACAGTGAAATGTGTTTAAACCAACACCTGGACATTTGGTCAAGTCAGGAGTTTCTAATCTCTTTTACTATATATGATGAAAATTTAGTGAATGAAAGCACAAAAACTGATATAAGGTTTGTCTTACTAGATTTTAACACAACCTCAGAAAGAAAAAAAACCCACTTGCAATATGGACAAACTCAGTTTTTGCTAAAGCATAAAAATAGCATGTCAAGAGAATAAAAAGGATTACACAAGCGTAGAAAGATGAACATATGCACAAACAAAGCAAACATTTATTTTTATCACATAAAGTTCTTTTCTAAAATTCTTTTGAAAAAAATCCTAATTAATGTCTAATTTGTCTTTGTCGAATGAAATAACTATAAATTGAACATCTGACTCTGACAATACAAATCCTGCCATATAATTCAGTGTAGTTTCTCACACACTGCTGTTTCTCTATCATAATATTTGGAGGTGTTATTCACAATGAACTCATTTTAATGTTGATACTGATGAAGATACCAATGCAAGTGTGCGTGTTTGTGAATGATTCACAACAGGTAGGAATCGTTGCTGTCAAACTCTACTATATAATTGATGAATCCGTGTACCTTTTTATTTCTGACATTCATAATGTTTCTACAGATGACAATCAAAAGATCTGAAACCTTCTGATGTACAGCGTTGATCAGCACAAACCAGCTTGAAAAATACACCAAAGGAGTTTCATACTGTGAACACTGATGGGTACAGAGACAGACGCTGTAGATTGATTCCCATTTTGAGTTCTTGACTTGAAGAAACATCTTTTCCTCTACAGAGTTTACATAAAATGATGATCTGTAAAACATTTTCCGTAAGACTTTGGTCCATTCTGCTGTAATACAAAGTGAGGTGCTGAAGAAAACATCATCTTACAAGAATGAGAGGTAAAGACTCGAAAACATAAATAGTCCTAAAAACTCCTTATCATTAACATTCATTGTAAACAAACTGTCTTTTTGTTAAGACATTCTTTGTTTTTAAAAGTCCAGTGTGTAGGATTTAGTGACATGTAGTTGCAGATTCGCCTCGCTTCGCCCTTCCCTTCCAAGCATGTAGTAGAAACTAAGGTGGCCCTAAAACTCACCAGAAAAACAGGGCTACTGTAGAAACATGGCGGTTCAAAATGGCAATTGACATGACAATTCTTATTTTCAGGTGATTATACACTAATAAAAACATATCTGCTAATATTATATCACATTTATGCCAAAAGATCCTGCTAAATGTTACACACTGGACCTTTAATGTAACTGCCTCCAAAAACAAAACAAAAAAATCCTCAGACTCAGCTTGTCAGGCTCAGCTGCTCTGCGTTGTCAGATTTGGAAAATCTTTCGTCCAGTTTGACGCGTATTTTGTCACCTCAACTGTACTTAAGGCTCAGCTGTGCAGTGAGGTGTGTTAGCGTGTTAGCATGTCTGCAACCATCCATGCATGTTGACAACTAGCCTACTGGATGTCAACATGCTGTTCGCATCTAACATTCACAATACCATGTCAGCAGGCTGGCATTAGCATTAGCATTGTGCTAGCATGTTGATTTTCTAATCTTTAACATGTTGGTGTAACATGCTAATATTTAGAATCACCTGAAGAAGGTAATATGTGCTGAAACACTGATTCATACTAGGCAATTAAAAATAAAAAGAGATATAACATTCAGCATGTTAATATGTTATTGTGTCAATATTTAAAATGCTAATAAAAAAACTTAGAGTAGATGAGATAAATACACTGGAGTTATGTGTTCAGCTTTTCATAACATGATATCTCAGTGTTCTCAAATCTCAAACTACAACTGAGTTTGACAAGAATTCAGTCATTAATTAAACCAAATTTCATGTCATTAGCTGTAGAAATATTTCAGTCTGGACCAACAGACCTCACCATCCCTAGAAACCAACTGTAAACTTCTCTTGATTACAGGATCAGACATGTATCCTTTTTTCCCGTCAGCTGAAGATCCAGATCCAGCAGCAAAGCCAGGAAATTCCTGTTGGGGTAGATGGCTCTCTTCTGGATCAATTTCTGCAAAGCCTTTTTGAGCGGGAGGTGACGGTAGATCATGAGGTACGCTAACACCAAAGTCGATGACCGGCTCATTCCCATGATGCAGTGCACCAGAACTTTCCCTGAAAAAAAAAACAGACAAGATGAAGGGAGAGGGGAATGTGAAGAAAGGATTAGTGAGAGGCCTCAGTCTTATTAATATCATACATGGCTGCCCGTCTCACGCTGTGGCCTTTCTTTTTCCCTGCTGTGAGCTAAAAATAGTTCCCACAATTCATCGCCTTTGTTCATTTAAGGTCCCTTTGCAGACTGTCTCTTTAATCCCAACTTGTCCTCTGCTTGATAGCTTCTTTGAAAGGAGCCATGGTCACATTATAGACTTAAATTCTGCAAGGTAAGACCCTTATTATTACCGCTGGCTGAAAATACACACATGCCGTTACAAGTTGTGTTACACTATGGTGACATTGAAAGGACGGCATGATGGGAGAATTTGAGTAGATGGGTGTATTGAGGATTAAAGAAGTTAAATACAGATGTGCAGGAATTTTAAATAAATGGCAAATTTTTTTTAGTTAAATGTTATCACTCAATCTTTCTGAATTATATAATTAAAACCCACTGTGCAGTAAAAAAAAAAAAAAAAAAGAAACTTTGAGGAGTCTTACCATCAGGTGACTTCAGAGCTTTATGAATGAAATCAGCTGCAGTCTGGAAGTAAACATCCAGATCAAAGTGTGTCGAGTCATCTGCTGGAATGCCACAATACACAAAGCCGTTGCCATAAAAGCTTTGGTTCCCTATGCTGCCTCGCTTGGAGTGCGCAGCGTTTAATACATGAGTTATACCTAATTTCAGCAAGGCAGCCTTGTTTTGGGCTACTGCCCTAGCAAGACAAAGAGACAGAAAGAGGTTCAAGACTTATGTGAATGCTAAGCATCACGGCACAATGTTTTTACACTAGAGTAACACAATCACTTGTTAAACATAATGGCTGTGGAACATGACAAGTAGTAGGTAGCACATTTCCTTGCAAGGCAAACTCATTAAATCTTTAAATTTGAAATAAGATGTATACTTACACATTGCCTATGTATATTTTTGGCCAGACCTCATCAACTTCATTGAGATGTAGTTTGCACGAGTCCAAAAGCTTCTGCAGATCCTTCACAGTCAGATATTCTTTTCTCTTGTCTTTCAGAGTTGACATTTTAAGTCAAAATCCCCCTCTCTTGGATCGATTACTGGTCCAAATGTTTGTTGTATTAAAGCAGTTCCCGTCAACTCCGGCACAGGATGATCTGTACGAGCAGGTGTTTATCTGCTGTCACTGGACAGTTACCCAATTTAGTGCTTAACCTAGCGTGTAGTCTTACTCGTGCAGAGGGCAGAACAACAAACAGTGCAGTGCCAGGCTCTGCTTTTCACACTGCTGTGGGACTCTGATTTAATAAGCCTCAAACAGAGATGAATCATTCCATAAAGCAGTGATAATTAGATGTAATTAAGGACAAAATGTTTTAGTGCATTGCTTATACTGGATGACAGAAAGTCCAGTGTTATGCAACATTTATGGAACTGAAATACTGTACAGCCTCATGCAGCTAGTTTACTGCTTAGACATAAATATCTTGTGAAAGCAAATTGGCTGAAGAGGGAAAAAATTAAGCTTTGCCGTTAGCTGCACATCAAACAGCCCTCACACTGCTGCAAATGTCTCTTTTAACCCTCCTATTATGTTGCAGGTCAATGTCAACCATTTCAGTTTTTATATGGAGGAAAAATATAATTAACCTTTCTTTGAAGGCACAAAATGTAATGACTTCTCTTCATTCGAGGTCATGAATGTGTATGTACAGTAAAATGTGGATGTGATGGTGTGTTGTTGATGTTGTACACAAAATAAGTCAATAACGGTTTCCGGTTAATTTTGACCTGGAGACAGTTATTGATTGATTGTTTAAAGTGCTGCTTCTGCTTATTGATTAATCTACAGTAGTGTATGCGGTGGGAATAAAATCCCACCGGATGTATACATAACACTGCTGATGAATGTGTGTGTGATTCTAGTGAGATCCAGATCCAGAGAGTGTAGTTTGACAAAATGTGGTTTTGTTCCTGTACGTTTATTTTGTAAGCATTTTAATCAATGCATCTTTCTGACAGAGACGCTTAAAGAGCTCAAGGCAATAAGAAGGATTTTAGCACCAGTCATGTAGAGGAAGATGTTTCTGAGCCGTTAATGATACAGGTTTTCTCTGGAGAAGATTGAAATATATATATATATATATATATGCATTCCACAGACTGTATTAATATTAGAGTACTATAACGGCAAGTTGCATACGTAGTAAATACAGCCATAGGAATACACTGTTGACATTATTATTGTTGTCCACTAGAGGTCCCTGTTTATTTATTCATTCCAAAAATAATTATACTGCATGTATATGCTATATATACTTCACATATACTTCATAAGAAATGTGATTGAGTGACTCTTCAGTGATGCACTTTAACATCAGAACAAAATTTGAGTATAGAATATATAGTATAGAAATCTATATATAAAAAATGTACAGTTGAACCACTTCCAACTGAAACATCATGATGTGAAAGATTATGTTTAAATCTGTTTTTTGTTTTTTTTCTTCCCCAAATGATATTCATCAGCAGACATGGTCCAGCAGTATGCTGGTAACTGCTGGACTGAGCAACCTTTTCTCAGTTGTTTAAAGTGTTGTGTGTTTTGTTTTCAGGAGGACTGTACTTCTGAGAATGTCTGGAATATGGGTGGTTTAAGTATATTGACCACCGCTCATCCCGCCACCCTCACTGTCTGCTTCCTTCCACCTCGCGCAGTAAAGGGCCAACAGTGAGGTAACAGCTTATGCTCTTACTGCTATTGTCCATCAGAAATAGTTGATCTCATCTCTGTTTTCCACTTCACCTCTTACGATTTGTGTAGCCAGTGACTGACAAGGTCTCCTTAACATTTCGTGCTTGTTTGTACAAACAGAACAACATGATGCAAGAGGAAGAAAAAAGGCATGAACTTCATCATCATCCAGAAGGTCTTAAATCATTGCGTGAGTTTTCTTTGTGTGAACTCTTCTTTTTGCGATGCTGTCGATCCAACGTTACTGCTGTGACA